CCCCCCCCCGCCTTCCCCGCGCGGACCTGCCCCCGGGACGCAGGGGGCGCGCCGGGCTGGGAGCGCCTGGCGGGGCCCGGCGCCCGGGGAGGGGCCTGCTCCCGGGGGCAGGACGGCGCCCGGAGGCCGGGGCCAGCGGGGAGGGCCGGGCGGGGGCGGGGACGCGGGCCGAGGCCGCCACCCGTGCGGCGTCGCCGGGGCCCCGCTCCTGCGCCCGGCGCCGTGCGCGGGCCGGCGGGGCCGGGCCGGCAGGGGAGGCGGCGCCGGCCGGCGGGGCAGGGGCCCCGAAGTGGGTTTCTGGCCGCCCCGGGCGCTGGCACCGGGCGCAGGCGGCGGCGCGCGACGGACTCCGCGCCCGGACCCCGCACCGGGCCGCCTCCGGCTCCGCCGCCCTGCCCCGGCCCTGGAAACCCGGCGCCTTCCAGGCCCTTCGAAAGATGGATTCTGTTGACGTATCTGGCGGCCCTGGCGAGCCGGGTGGAAAGTTGGGTTCTGCCAGATCTCGCTGGGCTCGTCTTTGTGACGCTCGGCCAGCACCGCATCCCCGCGGAGCCGGGTGAGTAAGCGTCGGCGCCCCGGGAGCCCTCGTGCCCCCCATGCCCAGACCCGGGTGGCTGCACCAGCTCGGGCTTTCTGCCATGTTAGGCACCGAGCCGCGTCCTCGCTGCATTTTTGCGTGCGTTTCGGCGGTGCCTTTCGCTGGAGAGGGACTTACTGCCTGTCTCCGCCTTGGCTTTTTCGGGTTTGGGGTTGTGCTCTCTGTGTTGGCTTGTTTGCCGTTTAAAGCCCGACTATTGTTCCGGATAAGCTCCGCCTGGGTGGGGAAATGGCATCCCACCACAGTTGCTGGTGAAGGGTAGAAATGTTGCCAAACAGCTGCTGCTTTGTGTTCCCTATCAGAAGCCCCTGGAGTAGGTTTGGGGCACGACGGATGGATGGGCGAGAGGGATGGGGCACGGAAGGAGAAGGCGGCTTTAGAGCAGCGAATTGTCACCCACCCCACGGCACGCAGTCAGCCTCCCTTTCTGCCTGCCAAACTTTTATGAATATTCCTTTTGTGACGGGGGGAAAGCGCAATGAATTCAGCCCAGTTTTCCGAGGAAAAGCAACCCGGCTTTAACAATGGTTTGAGAACTTAATCAATGGGGAAGGCAGGGGGAGGAGGAGGCGGCGCTGACACCATCTCGGGGATGTGGCTGCTTCTTGAGTTAGGTAGGGGAGAGGTGGGCAGGGCAGGGCGCAGCGCCTGGCTGGCCGCGTACCGGGAGCTGTCGGTAGCTCTTACCTGTGCCGGCGGGAGCCACCCTCCGTCTTGCCCCCAACCCGCGCCCTGCCCACAACTCCTCGATGGGGCTGGAGGGGCGGCTTGCGGCAGTGCGCTGGCCGGCCCCCCTCGTCTGGCGTTTTTAAGGATGTGTAAATATTTTGCTGAGGATAAGTGACATCAACAGAATGATATTCCGCAGAGCCCGGGTGTGCAGCGATGATAGATAGGGCCAACCAAAGTTTTGATAACCGCGGATTCTCAGGGCTCGCTGTTTCATTTTGGTCTTTGTTTTTGTTGCTTTTGCATTATCTCGCATCCTCTGGTGTGATCCCTTTATTTAGCCGATTCTTGGAAGCTTCTCCTCAGAACAGAGAGGAAAGCCGCCAGCAGGGAGAAAACAATTCTTAGCCCTGCATGCTTGAGGCAAGGTTTTCTGTTCTTTTCCCAAGGAATCTTTCCCACCGTTTTCTAATTGTCTCTTCCTTGTTCGGAGTCGTCCGAATCGTTTGTTGATTGACCAAGAGACTTCTGATAACTTTGACAATGTGTTGTGATACGTCTTTGTTACAGTAGAGGGGTGGCACTCTGGGAGGAGGACAGTGGGGAGGCTAGTGGGTGGGAGCCGCTCACCAGAGCAGCATTATGCACACTGCCCCCCCACTGTGCACCCTGGTTTTTCCCCCTTGCTCCCCGGTTTCGTCCCTGCCTTTTCTTCTCAAAGGGTAATGTGTGGAGCTGTGCCACTTTGCAAAGCCAGGGATTGAGCTGGAAGGCACAGCATGGTAAACTCAATGGTGTTCCAATTTCTCCACCCTTAGAGGTCCAGAGAGACCACCCACTCCCAAAACCACACCCACCCTGCTTGCACCCATCCCCCCACAAAATATCCTGCAAATGGGCAACTGCATCTCATACTGTCATGCCTACTAGAGGCATCTGCAAGGTGGCCTGGGCACTGTGAGACAAGTCAGACTGGGACTTGGGATGTTGGGTGTTGTGGCACCAGTCCTTGGGACCATTCGTCTATGGGAATGGGGGTGTCCTTTATCATGCAAAGGAGCCCAGCCCCACAGTGGTGGGGTTTGGCCCAGGAAAACCTGCCCACCTCAGGAATAAATGAGAAAACAGCTTTCCAGGTGATGCCAGTTGCCAGTGTGAGAACTTAGTTGGTGGGCAGTTGGGTAAGAACCGTAAAACAAAACGTCTTGTAGCCAGGAAGCAGAGCCTCCGAGACAGGTCCTCTGAAAGGCCAGAGAGAAAAGGGAAAGGTTGGGAGGTGTGTGTGCTGAGACTGCTGTAGCACCAGGAGACAGCTACAAGCTCTGGCTCCAGCGCCATGACAGCTAGGTAGGACGGGCTTCCCCAGAGCCCTGAGTCCAGAGCCGAGGTGTTCCGTATGTGCGGCTCTTCACGGGCAGTGTGCCCTGAAGCTACAGTAAGAAAATAGCAAGTGTCTGCTCTCTGGCTCCTTCTCTACTTACATTTGGGGGAGGATGGTCATAAAAGGGAAATAAACTGGGAAAGAAATTAACGTTTGTTGTTGCCTTCTGTCTGCCAAACACTTCACGTGTGGGAAATCATATTGTGATGGAGGCATTATTTTACAGATAAGGAATCAGAGGTTCACAGAAATTTCAGTCGTGTGTCTGATTGCAGACTTTCGTGGTTATGATTTAAAAGGGCAATATGTCCCTCTCCCCTCCCCCAAGTTTCTTATTTATTTCTCCTAAAGACCAGAGTCCTCAGCCCCTACCCATTCACAAAATATGGTACCTACATTGGGGGTCGGGGGGCTACCAGTGAGGCAGTCAGTCACCTTATCTGTCATAGTACATGCTTATCTGTCAAGTAGAGAGACCCCTAGATAGTCTCTATTTCAGATGAAAAGACTGCCTTTTAATCTTGGAATCCCCAACCTCCAACTGTTGCTTAATAAATGAGAGTTCAGTGACAGAATGAACGATGGAGCTGATGCAGTGAATGGTGGTGAGTGTGAGTTATTGTCAAGGGTCACCCAGCAGAGAGAATTCTGGAGATGCGTATGTTTGGTTGGAGACTCAGTTGTCCCCATCTGGTGTCATGCTCCAGTTCTAGCCCTGGGTAATTACAAGCTGACAAGTTCATGTGAGATGGGCAGTAACATTCCCGTCTTGTAGGTGAGGCAGCCGAGGCTAAGACAGGTTAAGTAATTAGCCTGAGGTTGTCCATGGTGGGTCCAAAGGTTGGGTAAGGTATTTCTGACTCTAAACCATCTCAAATAATAAGCTCCAGGTAAAAATGAGGTGGGGTCTTGCTGTGCAAATGCATTGTCCAAGCAAGTCCCTTAGCCCCTTTCCAACCAGATGGTAGCCTTCAACGCTCTCAAAAGTTGAGCCAATGGGAGAGTCAGGATTTGAATCCAATCAGAATATGAGGGGGACCTCAGAGAATGAGGCTCTTGAGGAGGGGGAAGGATGGCTAATTGCACTCTCCCCTGCACAAAAGCTTGTGTGGGATTCTGAATTAAGCTTGATTTGAAGATCAGGGTGACATCCTTGCTGCAGAGATGGCAGCTCTTGTCTTTGAAGAATGCCTCTGATTACCACTTCTTCCTTCCACCTGATCATCTGCCCAGATGCCCATCATCTCATTCTTTCCAGACCCAAGGCGTCTCTTTTGTGGCTCACAAATTTTGATGAGCCACTGGAGCCTAACCCCTCTCCTGTGTTCTGATGGCAGCTTGGCGAGGAGGTGGTTTCGTTGGCCATGTTAGTACTTCTGGATTTTACACATGACCCACCTTCCCTCTCCAGCCAGGAGCACACACACGAACATGCATGTGTGTGCAGACACAGGCACACATAATTTGATCATGTTTCTGTATCTGCTTCACCAAATTAGATTGCAACCCAGAATTGTTATTGAAAGAACGTATGTGACTTTGGTACTCTTCTGTCCCAGCCCCTGCCTTAAACAGATCAGAAGAGCTAAGATGGAGGCGGCTCAGCCAGTAGGTGCCTTAAGTAATGATTTCACTTGCCTTCCCACCGCTGTGGGGCAGCCCCCAGAAATGTAGGCACGACGCCACCTAGAGGTAGGGCTGGGCTCCCAGCACATCTCAATCCTTGCAATTCCCTCTGCTGCTGTAATTCTTAGTTCCAGTAAAACTCTCTAGCCCATGCTGCTCTCACCTGCCACTCTTCCCACAGTTTTTTTGGTATTTCAGTGCAGCACTGTCTCATAGAACTTTCTATGATGGTGGCAGTGTTCTATATCTGCACCATCCCATACAGTAGCCACTAGTTACGCATTGAAAGTGGCTGTTAAGCAGTTGAAAGGTGGCTAGTCCAAGGTAGGACATGCTGTAAGGATAATATGCCTGGGAGTTTGAAAACTTAGTACAAAACAGAATGCAGAATAGCTCATAAATAATTTTTATATTTATTTCATGGTAAAAGGATAATTATTTTGAATGTATTGATTAAATAAGCTATAGTATTAAAA